TTTTTAAGGTGTGGATAAAATGCTTGTTATAAAAGGCACTTGTTAATAGGCAGGGGTAAACTGGTCTCCAAATCTTGAATGAACTTAATGCCATTTCCCATAGTCTGAAGATTGTATTTTTACTCTATGTATTTTTGTACAATTAGTGTCAGAATTGACTTGCCTGTAGTCATCGGTGACTGTGCAGTGATATCTGGAGACTCGTTACGTTTTCTTTTAATACCTGTTAGAAAATTCATAATAATCAACAATTTCCTGAATGACAAACTTTACTGAGAGCTAGCAAACAATTATAATAACCAGGTTTCATACCATGACTAATGACTGTGGTTTGGGAGGAAAAGCCTAAAAGGAAAAAACATTTCACATTAAAGACTCTTTTATAATTTCTTTAATCATTTTTAATAATTTCTCCTGTAGATGATGTCCAGACACTAGATGCAGCATTTGAAGATTATACAAATGATGTTCAAGACTGCAAATTTGCAGAAATGTCCACCACCAAGCTAGGTTTTTTGCAATGATCTCTCCACCTTTTTGCTTCTTGCCATAGTCGCCTTGAGCTTTCTCACAGACAATATATATTAGGGCATAATTTTATCAAATGTTGCTTTAATTGGAACCACTCAATGAGGAGCTTATAAAATTTAAGACAATAGCTGCAATATGTTTCTGTAAAGCTGCTTTGAAACAATGTGCATTATAAAAAGCACTATATAAATAAATCTGACTTGATTCCCAATAACATTCAGACTAGAAGATCTGTACTCTGGTAGCTACAACAATTCTTTGTTCTAGTCAGAGCTCAAAAGACATTCATTTCACTCATTATTATAACATTTTACCAGCAGTGGATATTCCTGACCGCAGTGGAGAGTTTTGTCTTTCAAGACATCCAAAAGATGTAGAGGGTCTAAAAAAAAATATATATATTACTAACAAACTTGAAAATAAGTTATAGATTATTAAATCTATAGTATGTATTTGCTGATGTTCTCAAAATTTTCAATAGATATACTGTCCCAAATAAAGAAACCTGGTTCACGCATAATTGTGACCCTGGACCACAAAACCAGTTCTTGAGATTTCTACATCATCTGAAAGCTGAATAAATAAGCTTTCCATTGATGTATGGTTTGTTATGATATGACAATATACTGAGAATACTGAGAAAATTGCCGTTAAAGTTGTCCAAATGACGTTCTTAGCAATGCATATTACTAATCAAAAGTTAAGTTATATATGATATATTTACAGTAGTAAATTTACAAAATATCTTCATGGTACATGATCTTTACTTAATATCCTAATGATTTTTGGCATAAAAGAACAATCGATAATTTTGACCCATACAATGTTTTTTTTGGCTATTTGTGTGTGTGTGGTGTGGCCACCGTGCTAATGCTGTCCTTATCATTATGTTCTTAACACTGCTTATGATAACATACAGGCTTATGCTCTGATTAAACGGTGGAGTATTTAAACAGGTGTAGTTGTGTTGACCTATCTTGATAACAGATGCATTTTAGGCTAGGCCCACCTGATTTTCTCTGGGCTCACCCACATTGTGATTCCTGGCTACGCTAGTGGTATCCTCTACACATGGTGTTTCACAGCAGCATCTTGATATCAATTTGATGTCAAATATTAGTTTCCTTTCAGTCGGTCACGTTCGACATCACGTCGGAATGTACCGACGAATTGGGATCTCGCCTGAGTGCCCTATCATCTTTGAGTGTAAACTAAACAAGCCAATGCATATTGGCGTGCAAGATATGCATCTCACACTCCGCCCCGCAGCACGGGTATAAATGCAGGAGCGAGTGCAATGCACATTCAGCTTTTCACTTTGGAGCCGAGCGGTTCTATTGTTCTGCTCTGCCTGTTGTCTGAAGAGTATTCTGACGAGTCAACGAGCGCTCTGGGGAAGATGCTTCTTCAGCACTGGTGTTGGTGTGACAGTGCTGCAGCGGTGGTTTCCCCTGTGCGATCGTTGCCTCACGTGTTTGGGCATTAAGCACGCTGAGGCTGCTTTCATGGATGAGTCATTCTCTCTGCGGTAGGATGACCATCTCGGCATTGCGGTCAAGACTCCAATACCTCAGGAGAGGTGGAGTCCCCTTACCTATGCCCCGATCTAGTTCTTTTTCTGCACCGCAGAAGAGGGCTACTTCGGTGAATAGACAGGGTGACCTGAGGGTTTCAGTGGGGGTAAACCTGCAGAGTGAATCTTCGTGGGCCTCCATTCCTCTAGCACGCCGCAAGCTGTGGAGCTTCCGGGTGAACGTGCCGGTTCTTCTTATGAGGGACCAGCCGTTTCATTCGGTGCTCCTCCAGATGACCAGATGTCGATTGCGGCATCGGAGGGTGAGCTGGGGCCTCATTTATAAAGCATGCATACGCTCAGATTTGATCTTAGAGTGTGCGTACACTTAAATCCATGCCAGCGCTCAAATTTGTACAACTATGTTTTTGATGTGGAAAAGTGCTTAGCATCATGTCAGGGTCTGAGCAGACGTACGCACTTTTTCTTGTCGGAGTACTGCAGGTTTTTGGAAATGTAAGCTGTTTTTGCAGCCCGCTGTTCTAAATTAAAGAATTTTGATGATGACTGTGATATTTCACATATTAATGACATTAGGAGTCGTTTACAAGGCAGAGAGCTGAAACTATTAATTTACGCGCAAGTTCAAGATCATTTGCAATTCATAAATTTCACATCTGAAAGAAACGAGTATGTCCGTTTTCTGCATGTACATTCATTCTATGAATCACATGTACGCATATTTGAGAAATGATCGTAAGATTAAATTTAGGATGGTTTCTGCGCAACATTTTATAAATGAGGCCTCTAGAGTCTGGGGATGAGGACTCGGCTGCGTTGCCCCCTTCGGGGAGAGTAGCGTTGTTGAGCCTGACCCAGAATTGACAGCTATGCTTTCCAGGGCCATTGGGAGCCACTGTGTCCCGAGCTGTCGAGGTTAGACAACTGGTGTCTCGGGGCGGCCCGGGCTGGTTCTAAGCCCCCCGACCCTGTGCCATTCTTCCCGGAAGTGCATGAGGAGATGACTAGGTCGTGGACGGCACCTAAACCCATCTAGCGCCTCCTCCTCCTCCCTCACTACCCTTGATGGTGGGGTGGACAGGGGATACGCGGCGATGCCCCCGGTGGAGTCCGTTCTTAAGGCCAAGGCTTACGAAGCCACTGGACAGACTGCCTCCGCCCAGCACGCCATGGCACTCCTGCAGGTATATCAGGCCAAGGCCCTAAAGGAGTTGCACGAGGATAGTTCTGACCCAGAGCTGATGCAGGAGCTGCGCACAGTGACGGACCTCACCTTACGAGCGACGAAAGTCACTGCGCACTCCCTTGGTCAGACGATGGCCACATTGGTGGTCCAGGAACACCATCTCTGGCTGAACCTGGCGGATATGCGGGAGACTGACAAATATAGTTTTCTCGACTCCCCTATCTCCCAGGCTGGCCTATTCGGCGATGCAGTCGAGAGCTTTGCCTAACAGTTCTTGGCTGCCCAGAAGCAGACGGAGGCTATCAAGCACATCCTGCCCCGGCGGCCCGCGGCTTCCTCCACCCCCGAACAAATATAATTTTATCGACTCCCCTATCTCCCAGGCTGGCCTATTCGGCGATGCAGTCGAGAGCTTAGCCTCCGTCTGCTTCTGGGCAGCCGAGAACTGTTGGGCAATCAAGCACATCCTGCCCCAGTGGCCCGCTGCTGCTTTCACCCTGCTGCCGGCTGCAGCCGCTCCTCATGCTGTTGAATGGTGCTCTTCTCACCGGGAAGACCCCCAGGGATGCTCGATCAGAGCAGTGCTTTCTTTCCTCCAGGAGGGGTTGGAGCAAAGGCTGTCTCCCTCCATCCTAAAAGTGTATGTTGCCGCAATTGCCGCACATCACGATCCTGTAGACGGTGAGTCTTTGGGGAAGCATGACCTGATCATCAGGTTTCTGAGGGGCGCAAAGAGATTAAATCCTCCTCACCCTAACTCTGTACCCTCTTGGGATCTCCCTCTGGTGCTTGCGGCATTGCAGAGGGCTCCCTTTGAGCCGTTGCAGTCTGCAGAGAACTCTGTTGATAAAGACAATGCTCTTTACTGTGCTGGCTTCCATCAAGAGGGTAGGGGACCTGCATGCATTTTCAAGCATGACCTGATCATCAGGTTTCTGAGGGGTGCAAGGAGATTAAATCCTCCTCGCCCTAACTCCGTACCCTCTTGGGATCTCCCTCTGGTGTTTGCGGCATTGCAGAGGGCTCCCTTTGAGCAGTTGCAGTTTGCAGAGCTGAGAACTCTGTCGATAAAGAGGGAGGCAGACCCGGCCCTAGCTTTGCACTATATGTGGACCGTACACAAAGCTTTAGGACATAAGAGCAGCTCTTCATCTGTTACGGAGGCCAGCAGAAGGGAAAGACTGTCTCCAAGCAGAGGCTGGCCCACTGGATAGTGGATGCCATCGTCTTGGCATATCAAACCTAAGGCGTGCCGTGCCCACTCAGGTTGAGAGCACACTCGACGAGGAGTGTTGCTTCTTCTTGGGTGTTGGCGCACGGTGCCTCGCTGACAGATATATGTAGAGCTGCGGGCTGGGCAACACCAAACATGTTTGCTAGGTTTTATAGCCTTCGTGTAGAGCCAGTGTCCCCTTGTGTACTCGCCTCAAGTAGCCAGTGAACCAGAGAGACTGCTCGGTGTCTCACTTGTTGCGCCCTCTCCTCTACGGGCTGGACATGTGCACTTATTCTGCTCTTTAGTTCAGTTCCCCACAAGGCGAACCCTGTTAACTTCCTCCATCATCTTTGGCAGCCGGACGGGCTGAACGTCTGGCACTAGCCCTACCACTTGTAAGTATGCCTGTTGGTTGACCCCTGTGCTAGGCTAGGTGTCCATATCTTGTGATCCCCACGGCGATCCCATGTGTGTATTCTTCCATGGTACGGTTCCCCTCTTGGTGAGCCAGTGTCTTTCCATTGGCAGACTACATTCTGCCATCCCTGTTGGTGTTGACTCCATCCTAACTGGGACGGAGCCACCTCAGAGACATTCCATTTGTTGTACTGGCCTTTATGCCCAGTCCATATGTGTAATCTCCACATGATACCTCCCTATGGGCAGGATGTGGATTCTGCAGCGTTCCTGGAAAGGGTTCACTTTCCCAGTGTTATCCAATAAGTCTTACTGTATGAGTCTAGAGGAACAACAGTAATAAACTCGCTCCACGTAAGCCCTGTCCTATCTTCCGCCCCAGTTGCTGCGGGGGAACCAGGTGGCTTACTAGTGGTGCTAGAAGGGGCAGCAATAGTGGTGCTTTGTTAGGGATCCCAATTCGTCGGTACGTTCCGACGTGACGTCAAACGTTGCAAAGACTAAAGTCTCAAACCCAAAGAGATATTCTTAATAAAAATTAAGACTAGTCCACGCCCTCCTAAAACGCCTCGTTTAAACACACCCCCACATG